TATTTTTTTACTATGTCGATCTCACGAAACATATTTTTAATCTTTTTAAAAGCATCATTGTTTAACTTTTATGAAAGAAATTACAATAATCTAAAACTTAAAATAAAAGATAATTGAAAAAAATTATTTTACTTCTTCAAATATGCAGAATTGTATGCATATAAGAAAATATGGCTAACGGTTTGTTTTAAGCACTTTCAGTATCAAATAACAACAAGAAAAAATTATGAAAAAAGTTTCACAATCTATATTCTAGGAATATTTTGAATACTTTTTTACTTGAATAACACCGGCATTTCTGCGCAGTTGAATGAAAATCGGCAACATGCAGATCTAAGCCAGCACTTTTGTAACCGATCCAAGTTTTGAAGTGTGTTTTTTCTTTCAATTTTTTGCCCCTCTTTTATACTTTTCCGCAGAAAGCCACTGGAAAGTTGGCAAGCCTAATAACATGGCAACTTTTGCTTCGCCGCCACCATGTTTGCCAGGCAATAAATATCCCGAGCGATTGTGTGTGCCCCGTTGCCGCTATTTGTCCGAATGAGAAGAAAAAAAAAAAATAAGGCGAAACACAAAAGTAGGGCTCGCGTGACTCGACTCGCGATGGATGGTACGGCGGCGGATGTTGTAGTGAAAAATGCAGCCGCACGCCGCGTGCAGCTGCTTTTGTTGCTCCCTTTGAAGTTGCACTACTTCTACTTGGGGGGCTGATTAAATTTCCTGGAAATTGTTTTCTTCCGTCGGGATGCACAGCTGGGAGGATGGCGGTCGCTTTTCCACTGCGTTGCCTGCCAGACGAGTTTTTCTTTTTTTTTTTGCAAAAGCCGGCGACGCTTTATAAGCAAGCGACGGCCGTCATCAAATCGGCCGAGCGAGAAATTCGATTCTTCGGAGGAGCGGGAAAAAGAAGCTTTTGTCATTTGAAAAAAAGGGAGATGCACGCGTTAATTATCACCGCTTGTGTTGCCAAGGTGGATGATCAAGTAACGAAAGAAGCGGACGGAAATGTGAAATAACAAGCAATTTGAAACGACTTAATTGGCACATGATGCAACATCAACAGTTCTATTTTTATACGAATTGAGTCAACAAATAAAAAAAATAAAATTATTTCAATTAAAATAAGAAGATTAAAAGCAAAAAAATTCAACAATTTTGTAAGTGAGTTTGAATTGAATGTTTATTTCTGTCAATAGAATTTTTAAGTCCAGTAATCTTCAGTAAAATAATATAATATTTTAAATGGTGCTAAATTTTTAAATTTTATTAATTTAATTTAGAGGTTGTTATTTATTTCAAAATTAAAATTTATTGTCTTGACAAGACAAGAAGCAGAGTTTTGCAGGGAATTAAATTGATATGAAATTATTACAAGCATGTTAGGAACAATTTAAAAAAAAAAATCTGTTTTTGAACATTGATAATGTATATTTGTGTGAATCTCACCAAAACTTTTTTTAGCCAATTTAGAATTGTTCTCCAAGCCTCATTATTTTCATTATATTTCACAAGAAAAACAAGCGACATTTAAATTCGCAGTTTCGCTTTGAAATCAATCCCACGCTCGAGCAGACTCGCAATTTCCCGTTCGTATGAAGGGCGTGTGCTGCTTTTTTTCCAGCCAATCTAGTAAACTCATTTGTACAATTTTAGTGCGGCGCCGGCGGCGTTGTGTTTGTGCCGCCGCAGTTCGCAGACGGCATTTCCACAGTTTGGCTTTAAAAGGGGCGGCGCGGCGAAATAATAATAGCATCCCTTAAGGCCACGCCGGATTACATTAAAGTAACTAACTGCAGCGCGCGGCATACGCCCCGTCGGACCGTTTGCGTTTTGGGGACGCAATGAGAGGAGCGAGCGGAAGAAGAAGCTTTGTATCGATTTCTGGCGAGGCGAACCCGCTCTTGGGGTGCACGTTACGTTTTCGCTCTTTTATCAAACGTCTCTTCGCACCTTTTGCTGCTGCTGCAGAGTCGTGTTTACAAAAGAAACGGATTTATTAAAGGGCGGCCGCCCTCCCGATAAAAAGCGTGCTGATTGAGTCCGACTCGGGAAATAAATTTTATCGCCCGGCACAAAAACGAGGGGACCATTAGGGCACTGCATCTTCTGCTTTTTAATAATGCACGCCCGTCTTCATTTTCATAAATCTTTTCTGCTCTAATCTAGTCGCCCCCAGGCAGGTATTTTTCGCGCATAATCGAGAGAAAAATGATGCTGGAAAGGAGCAGTAAATTGCTGTTATTTGTTGGCGTATTAGCGAAGGTGACGCCCCCCTCGTGTGATGAAAAATTTCAAATTTATGATTCGGGTGCGTGTGCACGCGGAATTACCTGTCGGCTAATGAGCGGCAGCTTTTCGACGTCGCATTTTATGATTCTGCTCGGGGGAGCTCGTAAAAGTGGGAGAAATGGAAAGTGGCGTGAGCAAAGGGAGCTTTTTCCGCAAGCTTTTGAGAAAAGCTGAGAGTGAGATTTGACTTACCAATCGATTCTGGTGTTTCTTTCCTCTCACGTTTGAAAGGATATGCGATAAAAAATATTGCTGCTTGTGTAATTTCGGGCTTAATTTAGAATATTTTGTATTGACCGAGAAGAATAAATAATAATAGCAGCTTTTTAATTTGATTCCGAATAGAAATTTACGCAGACATGTTCAATTGTTCATGTCGTCAGCACTTTATTATTATTTCTTTTAAACTAGTCTTTGTTAGCTTAGACATAGCCTAGCTTGTACTGTTTTCATTTTACGACTCAGGTAATGTGGCCTCCTTTTTGAACTAAATTTACTGATTTTTTAACGAAAATTTCAAAATTGATGAAAGTATTTGTATATTTCTAATAAAAACCACCAACTTCAAAAGGGGTAAACAGTGATTAATTATGGAAATAGTATTCGAAAATTCAATTGTTATTATTTTAAAGGCATTTTGTATCATTGAGTTCTGTAAATCAACACAAATCTCTGATTCGGACGACGTAAATAAATTAATTTTTAATCATGAAATAAAGAAGCACGCGTCGATTTAAAATAAATTTGATGTAAAATGAAATTGTTATAATTAAATTTTTTAGATTTTATTATAACAATTTCAATCTAGAATGATAAATTTTAATATATTTTAAATAAATAAATTTTAATTCATAATAAAAAGAGAAATATATTTAAAAATAAAGAAACCAAATTAAAATATAAAAATTTTAATATTTAAATTTATTGAGTTATAATACATGTTTAGCACTTTTAAACTTTTCGTTGGCAAGCTGCTCTCATGAGAGTACTTTTCTGTCTCTGAAAACCAAACAAACACGCGGCCAGCGATATTTCATTAGCTCCTGAATTTATTGCCAGGACCACCTGCTATAAACCGCCGGCCTGCTGGTGCTGCTGTGTTTGCCTTGTTTGGCGCGGCCTGCGTTTTATTCGTGCCGGCAAACAAGCGAAAACGAGGCTGACGCCCCCGCGCACACTTTCGCCCGTCGAGCTGACAATGGGGCTGATTACTACCGGGATCGCTCTCTCGCTCACATCCACGCACTCACTCCTGGGAGAGATGGAAAGCGAGAGATAGAGGAAGAAGATGCGGAGCCGCCGCCGCACCGCATCGCCGCATCCTGCCGCCGGAGTTATTTATGCAACCTGCACGACACGCTTGACAAACTGGTTGCAGGCCTTCGATCGCAGGATGAGAGTGGTGGAATGAGTGAGAGAAAGTAAGACGGGGTGGGGATGCTTCGGCTCGCTTTGATTACAAACTTTTCCGAAGCTTCTCGTTCTTGGGAACAAAATGCTCATACCTTCTGGCATATTCCCTTTGAAATGAGTTCTGGAAGAATCGAGACTTTCAGATTGAGACTTTTCCTGAAGTTTTGGATCTATAGGATAAAATTTCTTCTTGAACCATAAAAAGAAGGAATTTCAAGAGTAGAAATTAAAATTACTTTTTTTTTGACAAACTGAAAGTTCAGCTTGCTTGTAGTTTTCACACAACATTAATGAGATCAGATTTATTTTTTATTTTTTCTCAATAATGCACCGATTAATATTTTAATTGTTTTGATAGGACACAATAATTTAAAGTGTTGTTTTAGCATAATATAAAAATAGTAAAACTGCAGGCAAAAATTGAATTTCAAGACTGCACAGGATTTCAATGCGAATATTACACATTTTGATTGAAAACTTAACTCATCACTTGTCTAAAATTCAATGTTACAAATTTTTAAGATTTCTTTATTAATTTAAACTTCAAAATATGGGAGGCGAAGTGGCAACTGACAATCTGAATTTCAAATTAGTTTAAATTATATAAGTGAATTGGAAAATATTTGAAATTTCATTGTATATTATAAATTCCTTAATTTAGAAAACAATTAAATGAATCAAATTTAAAAAACTTCTATAAAATAGTTCAGATTTTTATTTTTTCTTATTCTCAACTAAATGATAAATTTAAAAAAAAAGAGCTGAGGGCTAATAAAAGCAACTCTCTGCAGCAGTGAAGATAAGAGACTTTATGGGCACCGCTTTCGTGACTTTCGAAACTGGCAGTATAGTTGAGGAGCGTCAAGATGATGTCCTCGGCGAGTTGAGGAGCGCAAATTTGCCTGCATTATTGTACTATTCGGCCGGTCATATCGATTGGCACCGAGTTGTGTGCGTCACGACGGCAGGCAGCACAGCACAGCCCGCCTGCTTTTGCTACCACGCGGCGCGCTCTGATAATAACCGACCGACGCGCACCGCCCTTTATTATGAGAGAGAGAAGCACCGTGCAAATTATCCGGCGAGGTCACATTGCCAGACCACATGTTACCGCGTGGATTTATGCAGAAGTTGCGCGACCGTTTAATTGCTCTTTTGTTGCGGCACCTGCATTCCTCCCCGTCCCGGCCACTCGACCGACAACGACTGTTGTGAGTTTGATTAATTAACAGCACCGACGGATTTTGGCGGCTCGTTTGTTTGAATTATCCCCTGCAAGTCGCATTATTCACGCTTACCTTCCTAACTACGGTCACAGCGAACCTTGGGGTACTGTTGCACGCTGAAACATAAAGAGCAAAGTAGGGTTAGTGACACAAACTTTTAACACTAATATTAATTAATATGTAAATATAAAAAATGAAATTATTCAGTGAGCTTTTTTACTTTAACAGTTGGATAAACCAAAAAATTATTAGAAATTTAAGTAAACAGAATTAATCATCCCATAATTTTATTTGAACATTTTCTGCTTATCAGTAAACAGACCAAAAAAATGCAATAATATTCAAATAAAATAAATTTTGGTGCCAAAAATTGATCAATTTCAACAAAATATATTAAAATAATATTTTGAAAGCTAATCAAATTTCCTGATTTTTCACAGTTGTCTTATTTTTGATCAAGAAAAATTATGTTAAATTAAAAGAAAAAAATAGTTTTAAATCTGCATTTCTGTCTAAATGAGAATTCTCATTAAATTTAGTCTGATATGCATTTTTTTCTTTTAATTCAATTAATTATTTTGAGTTCACATAATAAACTAACTGTCTCCCTAGCGGATTTCATTATTTCGCAGATATTTTTTTCTGTCACAACATTAAAATTTTCAATTATTCTTAATATCAACAGTCTGTGTTTGGAGTTCAGAATTATTCCCCATCGCATGCGGTAATCCAATTTTTCGCCTGGACGCATTTCATCGACACACAAGTAATTCCAACAGCTAATAATTGCAGCGCATCCATGGTAAACAGACCTCGGGCGCAGATCGAATCGCAGTTTGATGATCGTGTCATTTTGGAAATTAAACCGAGTCCAAACACGCCGGCTGCTGCGTTTCAACACAAACAGAGAGAATGCGGCGTTATGGCCAAGGGTGTGGCCCACGCAGCGTTGCTCCGTTTGCGTCCCCCCAGCACAAATGCGCTTCAAAAACGGGGAGCAACTTGCTGCGCCTGACAGTGTACGACGACTAATTCAAAATATGTAATTTTAGCTTCAATTTAGAATAAAAACTTTTATTATACTTTTTGATGGCAGACTTCATTGAAAAGATATTTACAAGTAAAAATCATTTGCCATCTTATTTTTTTACATGATGTATTTAAGTGTTTTCTTGGTGTGACAATTTAACATAAATGTTTCTTTCTCCTAGCGCATATAATGCTTGGAATGTTTAAAAATTCTATAAATTTTTATTGCTTATAGAAATACTATAAATTTTTAAATATAAATTTAACAACGTTCTGCAAATATAGATAAAATTATTAAAATAAAATTTATTTTTATTTTATTTGTTCTAATTTTAGCTGCAATACTTATATTTTTTTTTTACAGAACACAAAGCATTTTTGAAAATACGCCACTGCAATTTAAAATCTATGATTGAAATAAAACTGTCAGCTTACATGATGTCAGTGATTCTTAAATATTAATAAATAATTTATCCTAGGGTTTTTGCCTTCGTTAAATTAGAATTATAGATAATACAAAATTAAAATCTTACAATCTATGTCAATAATCATAAACTTCCACAATTTACAACCAAAGTTTGTTTGGGATGATAAATACGATGTGAGGGTTTGTGTTCCCCGAGGCCAAATTGGTATACGAGGCGGGCGAAAATCAAGCGCGATAGACGGTCATTTATCTCCTTTGAAAAGACCCTGGATGCCGATGCTCCTCCGTTTTAGGTCACTTTTGTATGTCGTGCAATATTTCTCCTTTATTCCCCAGACCGTCCTATCTGATCCTAATTCTCGTTCGGACAAACTTTTCGCACTGGCGAAATCCTTCACGGCGGATTACTTGTTGAGTGATTTATGTGACACTCGGCGAAACGTCAGCGTAATGAGCAAAATCCTATTTGCCCTCTGTGGATACACAACTCGTTCGATAAACGTCAAACTCTTCCGGCAAAACTTTTGAAGGGAGAAATCAACCACATCTCTCTCGAAGTGCAATTAATTTGGCGCGCAGTCAAAGTTGTGTTTGTCTCTCTGGTGAGATGCAAAATGGCTGCATTTTGTGAACAATGGCGAGTCCTAACTAACCCGTTTTGCAGGCCCCAATTCAATTAGCCGGGCAGACTGCTTGACCTTTTCCCTCGCTGGAAATTGAGTTAAAACGGGGAATCTCACGGCTGAGCAGAGTCATCACTCATTTTGCATGCGGGACCGACGGGCGCACTCTTGGAATATAATTGGATTAATTCAGGCTCGGCCTGAATAAGAGGCTTCGCCGTTTATGAGAGAGAATTTATTCACAAAGCGGAATTTTCTTCATACAAGTCAAATAGTATCAGAATCGAGAGAGTTTCGTTCTCCACTTTGGCGCGTTCTGTATGATTTCATTCGCCTTGGGTATGAAAGGGTTTATTTAATATTCAAATAAATGCTAGTTGCAGATCCACATAAAGTACTGAATTGATTTTGTATATGAAACTGCTTCATTAGCCATGATTGTCATCATCAATTTAGTTAAAAAAATCATACAATCGATTCGAAATTATAATTTTACTTACGAAATATTAAATTAAGCTAGTCTCCTCTGTTAAAAATGCGTTACATTTGGAATTGAAGGAGAAAACTGATTTTAAATTATTTCAGTTTATTATTGTTTTCAAAGTTTTGCAAATTTTAAATTAATTAAATAATAAAAAAGTTTATTACTTAAATTAATTGTATTTTCAACTGAATAATAAAAATAGACAAAACCGTTTAGAGTAAATTACAGTGTAAGGCATCGAGCGATTCTCGACGACAAACCACATCAATTTGGCTTGACTGTGGCAATTGCAGGGCACGTGAATGGGAAAAAATCGGCTTCGTTTGCCTTTGAACGGCGGCAATTCGACGCTTATTACAGACTACTTTGTTTGCGTTCGACAAAGAGGGAGGCTGCGGCAGACAAGATCAATCGCTGTGTTTTCGTACGCCGGTCAGAGGAAAAGAGAGAATTGGTGACGTCAACACAGGTTCGCCTTTTCTTCCCGGCGGTTGTTTCCCAAACACACGCGCGTGCGGGGACGACCACGGACTGGCTTTGTTTACCGACAAGTGTTTGCATGAGGTGCCCCATCGCAAATGGATTATTCGGCCACTACGCAAAAACCAACAGAAGCTGCTCGAGGGCCAAGTGGAAATATATAACGACGACGTTAAAGTTTTACTAATAATCCGCCATTTCCTAACTTTATTGAATTTTGAATAAATAAATAAATTATTAAAATCGGTTCTATGTTAATATCCTTTTCACTGAAATATTTTTTTAAGTTTGGAATTTTATTTTTGAACTGACCTAAAAAAATTGTTTTTTATTCAAAAACTTGATGCAATTTATTTTTATTTGTTTGCATACTAAATTTGCTAATATTTTAAATGTAGAAATTAAACGAGATAAAATTTACAGGGTTTTTCAAACCAAAATAACGGTTGAATATTCAAATTATTTTTGCTTTATTTTATTCTGATTGTCGTTTTTTCCAGGGCTGCCAGCGACAAATTCGCCGACGCGGCAAAAACGCGATGATTATTCCAAACTCAAGGGTTGCGAGCGGACGAATGCAAATAAAACGAATACATTTCGCTTGCTCGCGGGCGAGTGGGCGGTGTGGTGGGTGGGAGAAAACAAGGGAAGCTTTGATCATTCGCACCTGAATAAATCGGAAGGCGAGCGCGCGTTTGGAAAATAAATCAATAAGGTGGCGTGAAAACAAACACGCAGAAGTGAGGAGAGGAAAATGACCGGGCCATTCAGATGTTTGGGAATCTTTGCACCTTGAACGGGGTCTTGTTTTCTTTTAGGGCACCGACAAATCCGCACGCTTTCAGAGAAAACATACGTGCAAATATCTGCTTGGAACGGCGAATTTGTGAAGCCTCTGGGGAGCTCAGAATTGGATTGGGCGAGTTTTCTGCTCTGCCTTAGGGTGAGATTTTGCCGAGATATACAAGCAGGAAAAAAATTCCAATACTTTCACACATCTCAAATATCTGAAGTTTGATCAAATTGTGACATCAAAATATTATAAAATTTTCTCAATTTATAGATTTCTATTCATAAAATAATTGTTAAAAAATATTTTTTCAAACATTTTTAAAATCAAATCCATTGACAAATTCTAAGCTTGGCGGATCCATTGTTCAAATTTTAAGTGAAATTTCCTTCCAACACCCACACAAAGCAGGACTTTTCTTCCCATACGCATTTGCTGCTGTTTTCATTAAGTTGGAGCGATATAAAGTTTTAATCAGATTGCGCGTCGAAAGTTGGTCGGATCGAGCCAGTGAACGGGTTAAGAGTCGTTGGGGTGGAATTGCGAGTGCCATTTACGTCAGCGAGCTCACCTTTGCTCACTGCAAATGGAAGGAGCATGTTCTCTGCTCTCTTTCCATGTCTTATTCATCGGCATTCACAAGGGGGCATAAACAGCAGTCCGATATTATTGGCCTCACTTTTTTTCCCGGTTGATGATTTGAGTGAGCAAAGCCAGAGGTAGGTGGATGAGTGGGTAGAGGCCGCACGTGGGCGCGGGTGGAAAATTCGAGTGCTTCACCCAGCAGCCTCTTGTTCGTTTAACAAGCTAGAGTGCGGTGGATTTAAACATTTGTGACGTTTGTGCACTCGTTAAGGGTCGAGTTAGTGCAGAACGAACGCGCTCTCCTTTACAGCCATACACAGTATGACACAGTAAATTGAGTTTGAAAAAGTGGAAAAGTTGGTTATAAATAAAAGGAAAATGTTCTCTTTAAGTTTTGCAATGAGACTTTTTAACTACAGACGAAGAATAAATTATTATTTGCATTCATTGTCGTAGACTTTTCCACATTGTTACAAATACATTATTTAATTTAAATTTTTGAAAATAATTTATTAAAAAAAGGAATTGATGGACAAAACTGAATGAATGTTTGTTTTAAGTCAGGCAAAAAAACAAATGAGATACAAATCAAAGAAACATTTAAAGAAATTAAATGCTGACCTAAAACATTTTTACGAAAAATTGTACTCGGAAAAAATAAATTTTCTCATATTCATTGCATCTATTAAAAAAATATT